CCCCGAGCCACTCCCTCTAGGCCCTGCCCGCGCGCCTTCTCAGGGAGCCCCCAGCCTGCGGCCACCTCAGTCCGGGTTCCAGCGTGTCAGTGTGCTGGAGGGAGTGTGTGCATCGTAGACGGGAGGCTCGCCAAGGTGTGTGCCCTGGGGAGGGCAGACACTCGGCGGCCACGCCAGGGACTGTCTTTGTCCACTCTACCCTGCACGGCCAGCTGCGCACGTGTGGGCCAGAGTCTCCGCATGTGGCAGCTACCTGCACTCTCTGGAGGCACTAAAGTGGGCAGGCTCAGAGGCTCAGGCCACCTTCAGAACCATCTCCCCGCCCCCCTGCCCCCCAAGGAGCCCCAGGAGCCCCAGGAGGGCGGAGGGAGGAACACATTCCCGCTGAGGGCCCAGATCTTGATGCTCTCCTCTCTCTTCCTCCACCATATGTGTGAGGGAACAGCCCAGCCAGGTAGCAATATGGCGCAATGTCTGTGCCCTGCTAGGTCTGCCGCCTCCAGAATCCCTCCCCTGACATGACTCTGCCTTTCTATCCTGCCTGGACTGAAATAAGAGGCATTCTTTGGAGGCTCAAAGCAGAGGTAGACACATGGTCTCCAGACTGCTCCGATTAAAATGTACAGTCTGTACCTCAGAGCAAGAGGATGCCCCACAAGTGAAAAGAAATGTTTCCTTCCCTCTATTGTTAACACAGCAGCCTGGACAGATTTAGCCACCTTTCCATCTGAAAGGCCCAGAGTTTTCTTCAAAGGGGTGAGACACAGGATGGATGTGTTCCTGGACCAGGGTCTACCTGGGAGTGTCGCCTGACCAAAGAGCCAGGGGTGGACAGGGCAGGAAGAGTGACGGGGCGGAGCAGGGTCCTGGGCCAGGAGCCCCCCCAGAAGGGACTGGAGAGTCATTTGGCGTCTTGATATTCTGCCAAGGAACAACACTGTCTGGTCTGCTCACCTCCCCTGCACATGAGGGTCAATCTTGAGCACAGGAATCACTTGCTCTCCTCCAACAACTCCCTGGGACCTCTGGCGCCTCTCTGTACATCCCCAGAGACGCTGGATTCTAATCAGGCAAATTGACTCTGGGGGATAGATTCATAGTGAATATGATGGCGTGCCTGAGTGTGCCCACACACAGTCCTTTACTAATGCATCGACTACAGAGCAATTTGAAAAGCTCATTCTCTGTGTTTTTAGAAATTACCTTTTTATTTTCCTACTGGTGTGAGCTGCTTCCCCCTCTCTCCTGGCCACTCTGCAGGATCACATGGATGTCCATATGGCTATGTGTCTGTGGATTTGGGGGAAAGATTAATGCACATGTGCATTGCCCCTTATAAGGCTCCCAAGTCGGGGCTCTGTGTCCGGATCCCTGTCAGCGAGGCCCTGAATGCTGTGACTTTGGCCCCTTAAGCAGGCCTGCATCACTACTTTCCATCTCCCTGCCTGCCTGTCTCAGTCACTTGGCTTACAGGCCAGCCGGCCCAGGCAGTCAGCCCAGAAAGTAGCTCATCCCAGTCAGAGCCATGGAACTGAGAGGGTGAGAATGAAAGCCCCCTGGGGAGGCAAGGTCTGGAGTGCTTAACTCATATTATTACTAGGTCTCCTGAGCATAGAGGGCAGCAGGGGCGAGCAAGAGAAAGCTTTTATTCTGAGGAGAGTTTGGCTGTTCTCCTTGAAAGAGTTGAGACAAAGGCCCAGTCCTACAGCAGTCAGAATGTGGAGTTTTCACCTTTTACCATAGAGCCCTGGCTGGTGTGGCTCAGTTGGTTGGGCATCATCCCATGCACTGAAAGGTTGTTGGTTCAATTCCCAGTTAGGGTACATGCCCTAGTTGCAGGTTTGATCCCTGGTAGGGGGAGTGCAGGAGGCAGCTGATAGATCGATGTTTCCCTCTCCCTCTCCCTTCCTCTATTTCACTCTCTTTGAAAATTCAATTTTAAAAAATTCTACCTGTTGACAATGATGGGCACAGTCAAAAAGAGTAATATTTGGGAACAGTAGATCCTAGGTCCCTGGAGAGGGAAAGAAGGGCTTAAAAGAAAAGGGATGGCTCCAGGAAGACCTTAGTAAAAGCAAATCAATGGTGGAGGCTGGAATCTCCCTTGAACAGAAGCCACCCAAAGGAGTTAGGCTTATGAGGTTTGGTAGACTGGTCAAGGGAGTGTGCTCATGGTCTCCTGCAGCACCCCCTGGAGTGCTGACTTCCCTTAATGAAAAAGAAACTGACACGCTAAGTGGAAGCTAAGTGGGAGCGTGGCTCCTAGGACAAGTCAAGTACTCAGTGAGTGCTTTAAGACCATGGGAAGTTGGAATAAGCATCCTTGTTGCTCCACCCTCCTGACCTCTGGAAGGCAGGCCCTGCTCTAAAGAGGGAGACCAAGACTAATGGGTCATCTTCATTCTTCAGAAACCAACCCAGACTAAGCACCGTGCCCAGTGTGAGGTAGGTGCTCACAATATACCTGCAGAATAAAAATCTTAAAGAGGCAGATGTCCACACTTAAACACATAAACTCAGGCCATTTATGCAGCTTTCTTTTGGCCCATGGAGATGGGCCCATAAGGTCTTTTAACTGGCAGGACACTGGTTGCTATGTCATTAACTTTATGGGGTCATCTGAGGTCTTGCTTTAGAACAACATCGATCAAATTCCTATTTTTCTAAATGTTGTTACTAAAAAGAAAAGTATCAGTGATTTAAATCATGACATCAAATTCCGATGAAGCTTTTGATTAACAAAAAAGAAAGTATTAAAAGAAAAAAAAGAAAGGAGAGTATTTATAATTATATATGTAGTGAGATTCTCAGGGTGTGAGGCGTTCTCAAATAGAGATATATTATCTGAGGTGCCTAAGAGGTCACATTGTAAATATAAATATACTTCTTAAACTACATGCTCCCTGCAGCACTGACTGTGAAGAGGGGCAGGAAAGCAAATGTGTTTCCCACATATGTTATATCTGTTAATACCAAACCTGGGAGGGATCGTTATCATCATGCCCTTATGCCACAGACATGGATGCCAATGCTCCGAGAATTGTGTGTCTTTCCCAAGGTCCCAGAGCTAGAGGATGACGGGCCAGGAGGACACCACCACTGCTCCCCCATTTTGTTCTCAGCATAAGGGTCTGCCAGCCTTCTTGGAGGAAGAGGATGAGTTTGCCTATTCTTTACCGTTCCTCTACTTGGTCCCTGGGCAGAACCCCGCCTCTGTGGGCAATGCCCACTTGCATGAGGACTCCGGCCCACAGCCCCTTCAGCAGTGCAGCAGGCAGGGCTAGAAGCCTGGTTGGTTCCGCATACACCTTGCTCTCCCACAAGGGCTGTGCAAGCTCTGGCAGGCCACAGGATCCGGGGAAATGGAGGGAAAGAGACAGGGCTCTGCCAAGGCTACCCACCCCAGAACTCTGTTCTGTGGCCATCTCCTCATGTTCTAAGTCTGGCAATTCTGTCACTGGGGTGGCACTCCATCTACCCCCACACCCAAGGAGTGGGCTGAGTCCCTACACAGAGTATTGCCCTCATTAGTGATTTTGGAAGAGACATCTATTTCTGAGTCCTCCTGGCAAGTTCCTTGGGGGTCCCAACTCTATCTCCCAACTGTGCACGCCCTCACAAAGCAAACCTTCTGTCCCATGGCCCAAGGTTGGTGGAAAGGCAGTAACTGCCTTAGCCACACTTTCCCTGTCTATCCCCAGCCTTGTGAAGGTCGAGCCCTCCTCTGGGCTCCTTCAGCCCTCTGTGACTTCTTCCACAGCACTCAACATGTTAGACTGTCCACATCTCCCACCTACTCTGAGTGCCTAGAGGACAAGGGCTGGGACTTCTTTATCCTAGCACCACTATTAACAGACTGTCTGACACTCGGTATTCATTCAACAAACATTCCTGGGCACCTTCTGTGCGCAAGACACTGAGGATAGAGAGATGAACAAATGCTTCAGGCCCCTGCTCTCCCATAGCTCACATTTCATATGAGAAACAGGCAATAACCATGACAACTATATCATATAATGTCCAGTTGTGGCAACTGCTCTGAACAATTACAAAGCAGGTAGGGGGATGGAGAACTGGTGGGCGATTATTTAGAGAGGGTAGTCATGGGAGGCTTCTCCAAGAAGGTAATCAAACTGAGAACAGAGTGTGAGCCATGCAATTACCTGGGAGAGGAGCAGTTATCTGTGGGGACAAGAGTGTGGCAGGTGCTCAACAAACATCTAACAAGAGAATGAACCAATGGCTGCAGCAGAAAGAGCACAGGACTGCAAGTCAGAACTGGGCTCAAGGCCCAGCTCTTCACATCTCACTGAAACTCCGTTTTCAAATCTATAAACAAGGAACGTACTTCCCCTGTAGGTTTTTGTAAAGTGTAATTAGGTCATACATGTAAAAGCACGTTCGTTGCCTAGCACAGTGTCTGGCATGTAGCAGGCTGACAATAATGTGTGTGTGTGTGTGTGTGTGTGTGTGTTTTGAGTGCATGGACAGATGAGTCAATAAGACAATGGACCCCAAGAGGTAGATTGGGGCTATAGATCCACGGTCCCCACCCTCTTTGCCTGTCCTCCAGGACTAGTAATCGAAAACTCTCTCCCTAGCCAGTTTGGCTCAGTGGATAGAGCGTCGGCCTGGGGACTGAAGGGTCCCGGGTTCGATTTCGGCCAAGGGCACATGCCCGGGTTTTCGGCTCGATCCCCAGTAGGAGGCGTGCAAGAGGCAGCCAATCAATGATTCTCTCTCATCATCGATGTTTCTATCTCTCTATCCCTCTCTCTTCCTCTTTGAAATCAATAAAAATATATTTTTTTAAAAAGGAAAGAAAACTCTCACCAGTGTGCCTCACCCAATCTTCCCTGGCTCTTCTCTCCCCAGGTCCCCGAGCAAGGCTGTGGCCCCTGAGGCAAGCCCAGAAAGGAGCTGCTCCCTTCACAGCTGTCCCCTTGAGGACCCTTCCAGTTCTCTGGGACCTCCACCAGCAACTTCTACCCTCCAGCCTGTGGGCCCGTCCAGCCCCTTGGCCCCTGCCCACTTCACTTATACCCGGGCACCGAAGGAATACCGAGGGGGCAGTTCCCTGCCAGGGCTTGGGGACCGAGCAGCTCTGTGCTCCCATGGCTCCAGCCTCAGCCCTTCCCCAGCCCCCTCACAGCATTATGGGGCCTGGAAGCCCCCATCTGTGCAGCACCACGTGATAAGCGTCAGGTAAGAGGGGTCTAGCAGCCTGCCAGCTGCCACTGGAAGGTAGGGCTGGGCTAAAAAGTAGGTCCACCCTCCACCCCCCCTCCCACCCCCCGGGATCTGAACTCCATCATTAAGGCAGCCCAGGATGTCCCCTGACTCTGATGAAGGAGGCAGCTTGGATGGAGGAGGAAGTAAGGGTTGTAGCTGTGGTCTGGGAAAGCCTAAAAGGGTTAATGCCATCATCCTCTATCCTCCTACCCCCACCTCTCACCCTGTAAGAGGACTCTGACAAGCAAGTGTCTTTTCTTCTATTCCACAGGCAGGAACAGGCCTTCCGGATGCCGAAGAGGTAGGCCTAGGCCTTCTCTTGACCTCTAGAGTGACCAGGCTGTGCCCAGTACAGGTCCACTACCCCTTCTTGGTGGCTCCTAAGCTCACCAGCCCCTCTACCACACCCAACACCAATTCATGCGGGCTCTCCTCCTCTTTCCCAGCTATTCCCAGCTGATTGCTGAGTGGCCAGTGGCAGTGCTGCTGCTGTGTCTAGCTGTCATCCTCCTCTGCACCCTGGCTGGACTCTTGGGGGGCCACCTGCCCGACTTCTCCAAGCCCTTGCTGGTGAGGGGTCAAGGGGAGGGAGGGGGGGCCCCAGGCCTGGCCACCTCAGCTCAGTCTGGGGCAACAAGTCAGAGTGGCCCAGCTGGGGTGGGGGTGGCAGTGGTGGGCTCTCAGCCTACAGAGAGAGTTGGGAAGATGGTATAGAGGTGATACTCCCGTTCAACAATCCAGGCAGGTAGGCTGGCCTTCCCTGCTCCAGGGACTCAAGGGGGCAGAGCCAAGAAGGACCAGATGGAAAACCCCTCCTTCTACTTGCCTCTTCTTCCTCCTCCCGCAGGGCTTTGAGCCTCGGGACACAGACATTGGACGGAAGCTCGTGGTGTGGAGAGCACTGCAGACCCTCACGGGCCCCAGGAAGCTGCTTTCCCTCTCCCCAGACCTTGAGCTGAACAGGTAATGGATTCCCATCTTCCCACACCACTGAGGGGAATGGGAGAAAAAACGAGGTCTCCAGAGAGAGGCCACTGGGTGACCTCCGCAAAGGTAGGTCAGAGGGGCTTGCTGGGGACCTCTGGGGAGTAGTGTCTGGCCTCCTCTGAGCACCCCACCCCTTGATGATGCCTGGCATTGCTTTTCTCTATACCTCAGCTCAAACCCCCACACCACTCTGAGCCCCACACCCTGGAGTAGTGCCCAGGAGGGCATGGTCCGGCCCCGGAGGATGGTGGAGCCCCTGGAGGACAGAGGGCAAGAGAATTTCTTCTGTGGCCCCCCTGGTAAGCTTCAGCTTGGCCAGTTCGTGGCTTTAATGGTGGTCCCCACCCCCACCTACTAGAACAGAAGGGGCCAGAAGAACAAATTTGGGCAGACAGAAAGGGAAGGAAGACAGCTGGCTATATTCAAACGGAGGAAGTTGGGTTATATTTGGGAAGATGAGGCAGGTCTCAGGTGCTCCAGCCAGGTAGAGTCAAGCTGGGTGTGGGTGGGGCACAGAAGCTGGGACGCAGGCCCAGGATGAAGCAGCCAGGAACAGGTTTCAGCCTCCTGAGAATCTGAACCTCATACGGCCCTGGGTAAGAATCTTTCCTTTGGTGGGCCCAGGACCTGGGGCAACCAGGGCTGAGCTTTGGGGTGTGTTGCAGAGAAGAGCTATGCACAGCTGGTATTCATGTCCACCTCAGCGGGAAGCCTGTGGAACCTACACGCCATCCATTCCATGTGTCACATGGAACAGGATCAGGTGAGCTGACTGGGGAGGCACCAGGGGCTGGGTGTGGAGGGAACCAGGACACCAAGAACCTGACCCCAAGGAAATGCTGCTGAGTCAGGACTGCCAGGGTGGCCTGGGGAAGAGCCTTCCCTGCTTAGAAAATGATCCCAGTGCTGCTGAGAGGCTCCAGGTGGGGGTGGGGGTGGGGGAGGAAGAGTCAGCTGTTTTCAGAAGAGCCAAAACACAAGTGTTGGAAGATAGAACATGCAGAGCCTGGGGCTTTCCTAAAGGTCCTAAAAAGGAGCTCAAGAAGTGTTAAAGAGGCCCCAGCCCAAGGGCCCCAGGCCCCATCAATCCAAGCAGTGCACAAGGGTATCCACCAAAAGATACTGGTGAAGAACATGTGCTCTGCCCTAGCCGGTTTGGCTCAGTGGATAGAGCAGTGATGGCGAACCTTTTGAGCTCGGCGTGTCAGCATTTTGAAAAACCCTAACTTAACTCTGGTGCCGTGTCACATATAGAAATTTTTTGATATTTGCGACCATAGTAAAACAAAGACTTATATTTTTGATATTTATTTTATATATTTAAATGCCATTTAACAAAGAAAAATCAACCAAAAAAATGAGTTCGCGTGTCACCTCTGACACGCATGCCATAGGTTCGCCATCACTGGTATAGAGCATCAGCCCCCGGACAGAAGGGTTGCAGGTTGGATTTCGGTCAAGGGCATATACCTCAATTGCAGGCTTGAGGTAACCAATCGATGTCTCTCTCTCTTTCTCTCTCCCCCCTTTCTCTCTCTTCCTCTCTTCTTCCCATCCACTTTCTTTAAAAATCAATGGAAAAATATCCTTGGGTGAGGATTAACAAAACAAACAAACAAAAAAGACCATGTGCTCTGGAGTCAGATGCTGATTTCAAGGCCAGCTCCAATACTCCCTAGGGCAGTGGTTCTCAACCTTCCTAATGCCGCGACCCTTTAAAACAGTTCCTCATGTTGTGGTGACCCCCAACCATAAAATTATTTTCGTTGCTACTTCATAACTGTAATTTTGCTACTTTTATGAATCGTAATGTAAATATCTGATATGCAAGATGTATTTTCATTGTTACAAATTGAACATAATTAAAGCATAGTGATTAATCACAAAAACAATATGTAATTATATATGTGTTTTCCGATGGTCTTAGGTGACCCCTGTGAAAGGGTTGTTCGACCTCCAAAGGGGTCGCGACCCACAGGTTGAGAACCGCTGCCCTAGGGGAATTCAGACTGCTGACTACCAGCTGCCCTCCCGCAAGCTGTGTGACTTCAGACATGTTTCTTAACCTCTCAGTGCCTCAGTCTTTGTATATATAAAGTGGGATAAGCCCTAGCCAGTTTGGCTCAGTGGATAGAGCATCAGCCTGTGGACTGAAGGGTCCCGGGTTCAATTCTAGTCAAGGGCACATATCTGGGTTGTGGGCTCGATCCCCAGTGTGGGGCATGCAGGAAGCAGCTGATCAATGATTCTCTATCATCATTGATGTTTCTATCTCTTCCTCTCTGAAGTCAATTAAAAAATATTTAAAATAAATAAATAAATAAATAAACAGAAAACAAATAATAAAGTGGGGATAAAAATGTTATTTCCTCATAAGGATGTTGTGACAATTAAGATAGAGTTTGTAAAACTGTAACATAATGACTGGCAATAGTAATCTCAATAAATGTTACCATAGTCACCATGATCTCAGAGCCAAGGCCATACATCCAGCTGGTGGCAGAACAGAGCCTCTGGTTCCCAGGCGGGTGCTCTCTGTAACTACACCAGCTGTTGTGATGTCTACAGCAAGTGGGAGAGAAAATGAGGTATGAGGTCTGATAAGGACACAGACCTGTGCCTAAGAGGGTTGAAGCAGACTAGTAGACAGAGGCAGGGGCGAGGGTTTGGCAGGGACTCTGATCCTGGAATGTTTTGGCCTCCGCTTTTCTCACCGTTTGCTTCCAGTTCCCTGGACCTTTGGCCCTGTTCCATCTGTGACTGCCACTTCCACTCCTACTCCTGGCTCAGACAGTGTAGAGTTGAGGTGTGTGACCTGCAAGGGCCCTTAGGGCAGGACCTCTCGGGCTGGGGCCTCAGCACCATTCCTGAGGCTCCTCTTTGATGGAGTCAAGATGTTAAGTGCTGACACCTGGGCCAGGAGCCAAAGGCAGCTCTGAGACAAGCCAGTTCTGCTGGGTTGTCAGGATGCCTCTCTCCCTCCGCTCTGCAGCCTGAAAGGAGGTGAGAAGGCCTCTGACAGGGCTGGGAAACCCTGCCCGGCACTGCCCTTGAGCTCTCTCCTGCTCTCTGTGCCCTACAGATCCGCTCCCATCACCGCTTTGGGGCTCTGTGCCAGCGCACAGCAGCCAACGAGTGCTGCCCCAGCTGGTCCCTGGGCAACTATGTGGCAGTGCTCTCCAACCGCTCCTCCTGCCTGGACACGACTCACGCAGACGCAGCCCGCATACTGGCCCTGCTCCGGACCTGTGCCCTCTACTACCACCGTGGGGCCCTGGGGCCCCCTTGTCTGGGACCTGGGCAGGACAAGCCCTCACGCTGTGCCCAGGTTCCCACCAAGTGCTCCCGGAGCAGCGCCGTCTACCAACTTCTGCACTTTCTGCTGGACAAGGACTTTCTGAGTCCCCAGACTGCTGACTACCAGGTGCCCTCTCTCAAGTACAGCCTGCTCTTCCTGCCCACCCCAAAGGGTGCCTCCATGATGGGCATCTACCTGGACCACCTAGCCACCCCCTGGGGGCTCTCTGACAATTACACGTCCATCACTGGCATGGATCTGGGCCTCAAGCAGGAGCTGTTGAGGCACTACCTAGCCCAGGACACGGTGTACCCCCTGCTGGCCCTGGCTGCCATCTTCCTCAGCGTTGCTCTCTACCTGCGCTCCTTCTTCCTCACGCTCATGGTGCTGCTAGGGGTGCTGGGCTCCCTCCTGGTGGCCTTCTTTCTTTACCGAGTGGCCTTCCGCATGGCCTACTTCCCCTTCGTCAATCTGGCGGCCCTCGTCCTGCTCAGCAGCGTCTGCACCAACCACACCCTCGTCTTCTCCGACCTCTGGCGCCTCAGCAAGAGCCAGCTGCCCTCCGGGGGGCTGGTGCAGCGCGTGGGCCGCACCATGCATCACTTCGGCTACCTGCTGCTGGTCTCCGGCCTCACCACCAGCGCGGCCTTCTACGCCAGCTACCTGAGCCGCCTCCCGGCCGTGCGCTGCTTCGCCCTCTACATGGGCACGGCCGTGCTGGCACACC